GCCTCGGGGTGGGAATGATGCCGAGATTTGGAAGAGCGATGCTTCTGTCACTCGTCTGTCACTTAGACGGGGATCTGATGACAAGTGACCGAGGACAGGGAGCCGAGGCTGCCCGACTGGCTCGCTGGCCACACAGCCTTGCTCTGTTTGCGGTGCTCATCCTTATTCAGCTTAGCCACACCTGTGCTTACGAGGCATCAAAGAAGATGCCTGCGATGCCCAGGTGACGCGGCATCAAGTCGTCGTGGCCACACGTCCATCTCTGTGTGCCGTAGATCTCATGAGTGACATTCTTCCTGCTCTGAGAGCAAGTCCTTCCCTTTGCTCCATTTCCACAGCTAGCCCCTGTCTTACTCCGTGCCCGGGTCCTGGTCACCTGTGTAGTAAATCCACGTCCAGGTCTTTTCGGCGACAGGGATTTGCCTTACTGTAGGCAGCCATCTCAGTCCCTTCGGGCTGCGGTGACAATACCACCGTCGGGTGCTTTCTCAGAGTTCCGCAGGCTGGGAGGTCAAGGTCAAGGCGCCAGCAAGGTCGCGTTCTGATGGGGACCCTCCTCCTGGTTCACGGCACTGTCCTGTCACGGTGGAAGGCCGCCAGCAAGCCTCTGGCACCGCGTCACACGCGCACGGGTCCTGTTCACGCCGCCACCCTCGGCCCAGGCCCCGCTTACCGACGGTGCCATCACATTGGGCTTTGGGTTTCAGCGTAATTTGGGGGGTGGGGGACACACTCTCAGACCACAGCAGCCCTCCCCACCATCAGAGCCCCCCTGAATCCGACCTGTGTTTCTGGTCGTCTGGGTCCTTCTGCCCTTGGCAGGTTGATGCTGCGTCCTTGGCAGCATCTCCGGGAAGCGCCCAGTGTCCTGTTCCGTCTGCGGTCGGGGTGCTCCCTGGATGCAGCCTCCCTCCGGCCTGCCCTCGTATAACAGGTGAGGGGCGGCATCCCTCGTGTCCCATGACCCCTCCGTGCTCACAGCCCAGCCTCCTGGTCTCCCCATCACGTCCAGTCACAGCATTGTTTTCCCTCCCCATCCCTCTGTAATTTGCCCCAGTTAGTCCTCGGGAACTTTACAGTTTGTAAGAGTGGAATTTTACATCTGTGCAATTATTAAGCTTTTCTGTGTCATCAAGATTTCTAACAATTTAGTACTTACGTGCTTGTGCTGGGATATTAAATTTCTCTGTCAGAGTTTGCAAACTGGTCCCCCCCGGCCCCCGGCCAAGTTCAGGGTATAGACCTCTTGGCTGGGCTCACACGGTTTATACAGATGGGAAATTTTACGTTCAAGAATGGTTTCTGGCTCTTCTAGGGAGAAGAACACCAGCAGACAGGCATTGGTCCTGCATTCCACAGCGCCCAGTCCTTGGTGTCGTGGGTGGGACGAGGGTGCAGCCGTCAGCCCCTCCCCTTGGGGGACCGCGGACGGGAGTTTCTGGGGATTTCCTCACAGCGTGGAAGCCCGGCTGCCGTCACTGTGCCCGGCGCAGTCTGCAGTGAGACGCACGGTGCAGACTGTCCCTGTGGGGCGCGTAGCCGCCGTCTTTGGGGTTCGGCCTGTGACTGGCCCTTACCGCGTCCTCCCCTGCCTGCTCTTCGCCCTCGCCAGGAGTCCCCCAGGGCGATCGGAATTTTATAGCTTTAAATGCTATGAACCTCTATTATTTTGTTTTCTATTTCATTGATTTCTGTTCTTATTTTATTCTGCTTGCTCTGGGTTTCTTTAGCCCCCCCCCTTTTTTTTATAGTATCTTAAGGTGGAAACTTATATTTTCAGTTTTAAACCCATTTTTTTTTTCTAATATGGACATTTAAAGCTATAAATTTCCCTCTAACTGCTGCTTTGGCTGTGTTCACACAAATTTTGACATGTTATATTTGTATTATCATCCATTTCAAAGTCTATTCTAATTTCCCTTGTGATTTTCTTTGTCCCATGGATTATTTAGAAATATGTTGCCATATTTAAGGAATTTTCTAGGTGTTTTCATTTTTGTCAGAGACCATATTCTGTGACTTCGGCCTTTTGGAATTTACTGAAACTTCTTTAATTGTACATTGGGGACTGTCCCAGTTGTGATCGAGAAGAATGTTTATTCTGCAATTTAAGGTGGAGTGTTCCCTAAATGTCTGTTAGATCCATAATTTTTTCATTATGCTCATTCATTTTTTGTTAGTGAAAGAAGTCTGTTAAAGATTTCAGCTCCGATTATGCATTTATCTATTTCTTTAATTTTATCAAATTTCGAAGCTTCGGTATTTGGAGCATATGCTTTTAAGGTTATGTCCTCTTGATTAACTGGCCCTCTTTGTTATGGACTGGCCTTCTTTGTCTCTGGTAATATTCCTTGTTTTGAAGTTCACTCGGTCTGAAATTAGTATCAGCCAAAGCCCACTGACTTTGTTAGTGCTTGTCTTTTTCCATCTTTCTGCTTCTTAAAAGTTTTAAACTATAATTAGATATTATCAAGAAAGGTAAACACTTCTTAACATTAGAGTGCAAAACGAACACACCTTATCGTTTTAAAGATGTGTAAGCAAGAAAATGTACGCATAACATAAATTCATCCAAATTTTAATCATGTGTAATGCATGTGATTAAATCATATAATCATGTATAATGGTAGGTGTCATTAAAAATTTTTAATGGAAATTTTTAATAAAGCTATCTTTCTTAAACATCTAAAAAATTAGTTTATAGAAGATAAAATCAACGTTTAAGTCAAACTTTATAACAAAAAAAGAAAAACAAGTTCTTGTTTTTTATTCAGTGTGGGTTTTTTTGTAAAAACATATTCTAATACAACTTAAAAAAAAGAAAAAAAACGACAGAGATCAAGAACTCCTAATGTAACCTCTCCACACAAGTTTGAAGGGAAGAAAAACTAGAATATGACACATTTTTTGGTGTATTGATGGAATTGGTGTTTTGAGTAGGAAATCAACTTTTTTTTTTCCCTGCTGTAAAATCTACACTGTGAATTTCATACCCCTTACATGTGTGTGCAAAGCATTTTCTTGTTTTCCTGAACCATTGCAACATCGGGAAAGTGTACTAAGCGCATCTCGTCGTCTTTAAAAGACAGCCCCCAGATGCCACTTCTGCTCCACTCTGTCACGTGCGTCTCCACAGGCACTGGGTTCTGTGGCGCTTCTTCCGCCAGGAGGGAGCTGCCTGCAGGACCCGCTTCCTGCACGTGCCGGCCGATAGAACGCGTTTAGGTGTTTTCTCTTTTCTCCATTTGGAGGTTTCTCCCTCCTCTTGCTTGATTTCTAAAAGCACATTTGCCCCAGCCACCGGCCCCGTCCGTCTCCTTCCTGACCTCGACTGACCGCTGTCCGGGGCCCTAGTGCTGGTTTGATGCTGAGGATGATCTTCTGGAACTACGTAGGCAGCGCTGGGAATTTTCAAAGGATACCTTGTTTTTGTCGTTTTGAAAGAATCTGTTCTGGAAACTACACAGGTTTAATCAACTGTCTGATGTGTGTGTATAAAGTTGGATTCTCGGTTGTGTAATTTTGTATCTTACTTTTCCACGCCGTGTAGAAATTTTCACCATCGCTGTCGTTTGAAGCTGCATAATATTGTTATGTTTGCACTGTAATCTATTTCACCGTTTCCTGTTGTTGAATTGTGAGGATTTTCACAGCTTTTCACGATATAAAATAACTCTAAAAGTTAATTTTTCTCAGAAGTCTTGTATTTGAGATGTATTTAATTTCTAGAAATGGGATTGCTTAGATCAAGGCCAAATGACTCTTTAATTCATACTGCTAGATCGCTTTCCAGGAATGATGAAGTGTTTAGATTAATTTTCACTGTTTTTCAAAGGCCAGGTTAGTAGAATAGTAAATATTTCTGGAACAATAAGCTGCCAGCCACATTTAAGATCTGTAGAATGCAGATTTAGCATAATGCTGGAAAACGATTTTGTTCACTTCATTAGAGGCAGCGGCTTGGTAAATTTCATTTTCTAATTATGAAAACTGTTTTTGCTTCACTGCACGCATACAGAATTCAGCTCTGCAGCATTTGTCAAGTTATCTGTCATGTACCAGGCATGTTGCAGAGAGAAAAAAAAAAAAGGTTCTAACCCTAAGAGAAGAGAAAGACCCCTCATCACCTAGATACTTTATAGGGTAATAAACCATGCGTGCGCATGTGTGTGCACGTGTGTGTGCGTGCGCGCGTGCGTGTGTGTCAGTAAAGTGCCGCTAGAGGACTAAAGACTCAGCAGTTTGTGTCCCAGAGGGTGTGACATCTGAGCTGAGCCTCAGAGGAGGGGGCTGGGGTTTGGGTGGCTGGGAGAGTGCACAGGCGGCCTCGGGGGGAATGGCGTGTAAGGGCATAATTGCAGTTATGCAGCATGTGAACGATGGCCTGTGCTTACGATGGCCTGTGCTTCACACTTAAAGACTTAACTCCTTAATGTCCTGATTACTTTATTCTTTTTCTAGGGTACGTGAAGTTGTTATTCTTAATATGGAGTGCTTTCTTCTCTCTGGCAAACACCTTTAGTGGGATGGTCTTTAATGCTTTTCACATTGTTTCCTCTTCTCCATTTGTTATTAATTATATAGGTTGATAGAACCGATGATTTCAGCCCCCACTCACACCCAGAGGACCTGGCAGCTTTGAGGACCTGGCATAGGCACCGGCATAGGCACAGTGTGCGGTTAGCCTTATACTAAGGGACGTGCGTCTCAGAAGTAAAGGTTTCTTAGCAGACACTGCTGCCACCCCGTGTGTTTCGGAACCGTGTCGCGTGCTGAGTCACATGGTTCGGTGACGATGGTGGGGACTAGTCTTAAGACGTTCAGGATGTCGCTTTGCCAATAGAAAAATAATTGGTAGAAATACGCAAAAGTGGGCAGTGCTGGGCTATTAAAAACTGACCGTTAACCGTCTGCTAATTGAATCATAAAATTCGATCGTTCTTTTAAGGGTACGGCGAATTTCTTTTATGACATTTTGTTTTTCGTGTTTGTTTTACTAGGATGAAAGTTAAAAAACTGCCCATGATTCTAGCTCTACACCTGAAGAGATTTAAATACATGGATCAGCTTCATCGTTACACGAAACTTTCTTACCGGGTGGTTTTCCCTTTAGAACTCCGTCTCTTTAACACTTCAGGCGATGCCACCAATCCTGACAGAATGTACGACCTCGTCGCTGTGGTGGTTCACTGTGGAAGGTAGTGCACCCAGGGACTGGGGGTG